TTTTTTAAGTTCCTCAATGTTACAGAGCTGTCTAACTTCAGAGTCTCGGCCTGGAATACTCTTCCTTTCATTTTTCACTTGGTTTCTGTTCACTGTACAAATGTCATCCTTTAAAAATGTGATTTATTTCATTTTATAAAGACCTTCTCAAGATTTAACTAAAATATATGTACTCATCAGGAAATCAATAAAATAATTCAAAAATAATTTCCTTAAACATATGAACTTAACACTACCCCATAGTATTTCATATTTTCTTTTTTGTTCCTATTTAGTCTCAAATGCCCATCAAAAGAGGATGTAAAGTTTATTGAAATCTCTCTTTACTAGTCACTCCTATACTTTTGTATGCAAATTTGAAGGCAAGCTCGAGAGCAGCATATAATTGATGTGTATTCTAAAATAGGAGAGAAACCAAAACCTAGGAAACCAGAGATTTGCATGGGACAAGAGGGGAAAAAAGGAAAGTCACCTCTTCCTGTAAAATGCAGCTCAAAAGAAGCTGATGAAAAATGTCTAATGAGAATTTGAAATTAATTGTATGTGATTTTAGTCCCATCTTTTGGTTGCTCAGGAAGTCTTGAGTAAATATATATACTTTTCACAAATGTTTTGTTGTGAGTGTATGGGAACTATTAAGACGTAGAGCTCTGCATTTAATTTAAAACATGTGAGGAACATACAGATGGCACACTAAGATGATAATTAAAACTGGGTGGTTCATGCCTGCAATCCCAGCACTTTGGGAGACTGAGGCGGGTGGATCACCTGAGGTCAGGAGTTCTGGCTAACTAGAGCAGTCTGGCTAACACGGTGACACCCGTCTCTATTAAAAATACAAAAAAATAGCCGGGCATGGTGGCAGGTGCCTGTAATCTCCGCTACTTGGGAGGCTGAAGCAGAAGAATCGCTTGAACCCAGGAGGTGGAGGTCACAGTGAGCCAAGATGGTGCCAATGCACTGCAGGCTGGGCAACAAGAGCGAAACTGTCTCAAAAAAACTAACTAAATAAATAAATAGAGAAACTGGGAGACTGGAAACAACTGATATCTAAGACATGTGTGATTTAAATGGAAAGGCAATATACATGATAGAAGAAAGGAAATGTATGATAGTATACTCTACCTTGTAAACTGCCCTAACATACTAGGATTTATTGTATTCTGATAAAGGCTATAGGAAGATACAAATTCTGATCCAAGTGATCCTTCTTGTGATGTCAAGAGTTTATTTGGCTTTGCTGTACCAGTAAGTGGATCTGGATGGTAAAGAGGTCGAGGAGTAACATCAATTCCATTTATGTCAAACACCTAAAAAAAATGGTTATTTAAAATGAAATAACTAAAAAAGACAGGGCTCCTAAATAACAGCTGCTAAAAAACAGAAATAAATATGGTAGAAAAAAGATAAGTATAATGTTCCCATAGTAGGACAAACATGAAAAATTGGATGCTTTAAAATGTCATGCTTAGAAAGTTTCTTAACTATGCAAAAACTTTCTTAAAATATTATTTGTGCTTTATCTATATATAATCAATATATATTAACCAGGAAAATCAGAAAGGTGGAAAGATAATTCATCCAGATGGTTATTGTGGTACATGTAAATTGTATATACATGTTTTAAAGAGAACTCACTATTTTTCACTTAACAGTTCATTAATAAGCATTTCCTAAGTTATTATATACTTTTGGTTTATAGTCCTGCACCACAAAATGATTCTGTCAACAATGGACCACATATATGACAGTGGTACCATAACATTATAATAGAACTGAAAAATCCCCATCACCTAGTGACATCACAGTCATTATAATGTCTTAGCACATTACTCACAGATTTGTGGTGATGCTCACATAAACAAAGCTACTGCACTGCCAGTCATATAAAAGTATAGCACATACAATTATGCACAGTACATAATATTTAATAACAATAAATTATGCTTCTGGTTTATGTGCTTACTAGACTTTTTATGATTTTAGAGTGTACTCCTTTTATTTCTTAAAAAAATCGTTAACTGTAAAACAGTCTCAGGCAGGTCCTTCAGTGGGTATTCTAAAAGATGATGTTGTTATAAGAGGTGACAGCTCCATGCATATAACTGCCTCAAAAAACCTTCCAGTGGGACAAAATGTGGAGGCAGAAAATAGTGATATTAATACAGTTGAACTCCTTTTTATATATTTATTCCCATTTTGATTTCCATTTGGAGGGAAAGAATTTCCTATTCAAGCCCTTTGCACATTTTTTATTGAGACTTTCTTCTTATTGGTAACATGGTTCATTAAATATTCTGAATATGAGTCCTTTCAGGTGAATGAGCTACAAGTGTCTTCTTTCACTCTGTGGGTTCATTTTCTTTACAGCATATTTGATGAATATGAGCTATTTTTAATGTAATCAAATATATTATATTTTCCATTATGGGTGGTGCTTTAGATGTCTCCTTTAAATAACCATTCCCAGTCCTGAAGTCCTATATGTTGCTTTTCATATTTAAGTCCATAATATACCCAGAATTAATTTTTATATACAGGACAAGAAACAAAGCCAATATATTTTTATTTCATAAGGAAACCTGGCCAGGTGCAGTGGCTCATGCCTGTAATCCCAGCATTTTGGGAGGCCAAGGTGGGCAGATCACCTGAGGTCGGGAGCTTGAGGCTAGCCTGGTCAACATGGAGAAATTCCACCTCTACTAAAAATACAAAATTAGCTGGGCATGGTGGTGCATGCCTGTAATCCCAGCTACTTGGGAGGCTGAGGCAGAAGAATTGCCTGAACCCAGGAGGTGGAGGTTGTAGTCAGCCGAGATCATACCATCGCACTCCAGTGAGAAACTCGGTCTCAGAAAAAAAAAAAAAGAAAATCCAATTGTCTCAACAAGAGTTTTTGAAAATCCTGTCCTTTCCCCATTACTCTGCAGTTCACATTTATTATAAAATAAGCACTTATATGTGCTCAGGAAGGCTCTCTATCCCTGTGCTAATATTACGTGTTTTATTAAGCCTTGTATCTAGGAAAGCAAGTGCTTTCACTGAGTTTTTGTGCAAGTGTCTTTGCTATTTTTAGCCTTTAGCATTTCCACATGAATTTTAGAATTATCTTGAAAAGTTTCTGAAAAAAATAACTTAAAAACTTGAGATTTTGATTAAAATTGCAAAGAATCTATAAATCGAAATTTAGGATAACTGATCTTAAAATATCGACTCTTTCTAGGCAGAAACATGGTCCATCTCTCCTTTTGTTCTGGTCCTCTTTACTGTCTTCCAATAAACTTTCATAGTTTTAAAAATACCAGTATACGCATCTTTTGTTATATTTTTCCATAAATGCTTGATAAATCTTAGTGCTATTATAAACTATCATTTAAAAATGTCTAATTTTTGGATGGGCACAGTAGCTCAATGCCTATAATCCCAGTGCTCTGGGAGGTCAAGGCAGAAGAATTGCTTGAGGCTAGGAGTTCAAGACCAGCCTGGACAACCACAGCAGAATCTCATCTTTACCAAAAATTTGAGAAAATTTGCTGGGCATGGTGGCACACACCTGTAGCCTTAGCCACATAGTAGGCTAAGGCAAGAAGAGGATTGCTTAAGCCCAGGAGTTTGAGGCTATAGTGAGCTATGATTGTGCCACTGCACTTTTAGTCTGCATGATCAGAGCAAGTCATCTCTAAAAAATGTTGTTTTTAAAATAAAAAAATCAAATTTTTGAACTATTTGTTGCTGGTATATATTCCATCCACAAATATTCAATGTTTTCTTTCTTCCTTTCCAATTCTTATACATTCCATTTCTTCTTCTTACCAATTTGAACTGATTTCCAAGAATGTTGGATAGAAGCAGGCTCTTTTTTGAAATGCTTCACCATTTGATATGATCATACTATAGGATTTTACAGATAGCCTAAATAAGATTTCATAAGTTCCTTGTGATTCTCAGTTTCATAAGAATTTTTAAATAGTTTTTTTTTTTTTTTTTTTTTTTAATTGTACTTTAAGTTCTGAGGTGCATGTGCAGAACATGCAGGTTTGTTACATAAGTATACACATGCCATGGTGGTTGGCTGCATCCATCACCCCATCATCTACATTAGGTATTTCTCCTAATGCTATCCCTCCTTTAGCCCCCCACCCTCCAACAGTCCCTGGTGTGTGATGTTCCCCACCCTGTGTCCATGTATTCTTACTGTTGAACTCCCACTTACAAATGAGAACATGCAGTGTTTGGTTTTCTGTTCTTGAGTTCATTTGCTGAGAATGATGGTTTCCAGCTTCATCCATGTCCCTCCAAAGGACATGAACTCATTCTTTTTTATGGCTGCATAGTGTTCCAGGATGTATATGTGACACATTTTCTTTATCCAATCTATCACTGGTGGGCATTTAGGTTGGTTCCAAGTCTTTATTATTGTGAACAGTGCTGCAATAAACTTACATGTGCATGTGTCTTTAAAACAGAATGATTTATAATTATTTGGGTATATGTTCAGTAATGGCATTGCTGGGTCAAATGGGATTTCTAGTTCTAGATCCTTGGGAAGTCGCCACACTGTCTTCCACAATGGCTGAACTAATTTACACACCCACCAACATACACTAAGGGTTTTTAAATGTTAAACCAATCTTGATTTCTTGGCACAGACCAAAGTTCCTTTTATCAGGCATTTTTTGTTGTTGTTGTTGCTAAACTTTATTGGGTAATATTTTGTTGAGGATTTCTCTATGTTTGCAAGTGAAATTGGCATATAACATTTCTTTCTCATACTGTATTCAGGTTTAATGCTAGCCTCATGAGTTTTGTAGTATACCAACTTTTTGTGTTCTGTTTTCATCTATGTATGTTTGACACATACCACAATTGAAGTCATCTGACTCTGTAATTATATTTGAAAGAAAGTTTTCAAATCACTCATATAAATTCCTTTAATAGCTTCCAGTTTTCAATGTTTGTCTGTTTCGGTAAAGAGTAATTTTCTAAAAGTTTTTTGCATTTTACCTAAATTTTCAAACTTCAAAATTGGAGTAACGTTAATATGCATTAATTTGCTTTTTTAAATAGCTTTTAACATGCACAATTCAATAGTTTTTAATATGTTCACATGTATGTGTACCACAATTAATTTTGGAACCTTTTTACACTTCAAGAAGAGACTCTGTTTCCATTATGATCCCTGCTATGGTTTAAATGTGTGTACCAAAAGTTCATGTGTTGGAAATGTGGTCCCAACGCAGCAGTATTGAGAGCTTCGACTTTGGGAGGTGTTTGTGTAATGAAGGCTTGTCTTCACAAATGGATTAATCCATTCATGGATTAAGGAATAAATGGGTTATCAAGAGAGTGGGTTAGTTATCACAAGAGAAGTCTCTTATAAAGGCCAGTTTCCCTATCTCTCATAAACCCTCCTCACCATGTGATAGCATTCACCACCTTAGCTCTCTGCAGAGTTACCACTAGCAAGAAGGCCCCAACCAGACGTGGTCCTTTGACCCTGAACATCCTACCCTCCAGAACTATAAGAAATAAGGCCGGGCGCGGTGGCTCACGCTTGTAATCCCAGCACTTTGGGCGGCCGAGATGGGTGGATCACGAGGTCAAGAGATCGAGACCATCCTGGTCAACATGGTGAAACCCCGTCTCTACTAAAAATACAAAAATCAGCTGGGCATGGTGGCGCACGCCTGTAGTCCCAGCTACTCGGGAGGCTGAGGCAGGAGAATTGCTTGAACCCAGGAGGTGGAGGTTGCGGTGAGCTGAGATCGCGCCATTGCACTCCAGCCTGGGTAACAAGAGCGAAACTCCGTCTCAAAAAAAAAAAAAAAAAAAAAAAAAAAAAAAAAAAAAAAAAAAAAAAAAAAAAAAAAAAAAAAAAAAAAGAAATAATATTCTTTTCTTTATAAATTATTCAGTGTTAAGTATTTATTTACAGAAACAGAAAACAAACTAAGAAAATTGGTACCAAGAAGTGGGACTAAACAAATACCTGAAAATGTGGGCGTGGCTTGGGAACTAAGTAATGGACAGAAGTTGGAAGACTTTGGAGAAACAATCTAGAAAAAGGCTGCATTGCCATAAACGGCACTAAGGGTGATTCTGGTAAGGGCTCTGAAGAGCAGACTAGAGAAAGTCTGAATCTTTTTAATTGCTTAAGTGGTTGCAAACAGAATAGTGGTAGAAATAGGAATAGTAAAGACTATTCTGATGAAGTCTCTTAGGCAGAAATGAGAAATTCTCATTAGAACTGGAATAAAAGCTATATTTGTTATAAAGTAGTAAAGAACTTGGTAGAATTTATGGAAGACAA